TTTATAGTGTCAGTCACATTGTGGAGTCGGTCACGTAGTAGGTAGAATCAGTCACAGCCTTTATCATAATTAAATGCAGCTTTTTGTTTGTTTTTTTCACATAGATGGCGAAAACAGCTGCACAAAGGAAGCGAAGCAGAGAGAGAAGTTGAAAGCTAAAGGATTATTCGAAGAATTAAAAAAAATGGAATATAAGAACAGGAAGCGCCAACGATGTTTGATAAAACAATCAGAATTAATTGGTCATATGAAAATATGTAATAAATATATATGTGAAAAAATGTCAGAAGAGATGAAAAGGTACAGTAAAGAAATATGCTGATACACCTGCCAAAGATGAGGCTTAAAAGAATTTATGCTTTATTACAGATTTTGTTTAAGATTGTTAAATAATTATATTTCTTGTTTCTAAAAAGGTTTTGTTTTGAATTAGGTATTTTAGTTTCGATGTTGGTTTCTAACAGATTATTAGTCATTTTGTTAAGGTGGTGTTTATGTTTAAAAATAGCATTTTAACGAGTTCATTAACTACACTTTTCTATCTTTAAAATAATTTAAAAGTTCTTTTTATATGCTGTGATTTAAATTCTAAAGTTTCATGTAAAAATACTGACTTTTACACTACCCAAGTGAGTGTAGTGTCGGTCACGTTTTCGGCTGTCACAGTCACTATTTATTTTACTAATATATATATTTTTAAATAACTTTAAGCTTTTATTTCACCATTTTATAATAGTTCGTTTCATGCACTTTCGATAAAACACACAAATTAAAGTTATTACTCCAGTACAGAGGAAGATTATTGAAGTTTAAAAACACTCTCCAAAACGACTTCCTTTTGCATGTAGTGTCTGTCACGTTTATATTTTACTCAATAAATGCTATTTGAACATAATATTGGTTGCCATTTTTTCTTTATAGAATAATTGTTAAACTGATACAAAGCCATGTTTAAATTAAAACTAAAAACATAGAACTAATTGTAAGTTACCTACAGATCAACAGTTACAATACAACTGACTAACATATCGCCTTGAACCTCGTTGACGTCACAAGTGTCGTATTCATCTGGCATCCCGGTGACGTCACCGAAGCCGTTGTAACGCCTAAAAGTTGACCATTACAAATGACGATCGATTTGGTATCGCATCGATGGAAGGATTATCGTCCACGAGACGGTCCGTAATCCCGAGTTATCGTGATTTGTTGGCATTAGTGTGCAAACAACACGATTAGATTAGATCCGAATACGAAAATGACGGTTGAGTCAAGTCAATCAATCACGGATTGTACGTATAAAGTATATACTCTCATGACACTTTCGTTGATCTACGTTAAGCTACCTTAAACTGACCCGACATGACCTATACTATAAAACGTTCTACCTCATAGTAAAACACAAAGAATAGGCTTGATGTGTTTATTCATATCACGAAATGACTGTAATTTTACGACTACAAATTTTGTAATTATTTTCGTTGGATGCAATCGAAACATTAACCAGCACCACTTCATATGAATAAAATTCATCACCATAAAATTTTAAACTATAACCTGGGTAGTTTTGATTTTATTATTCATTTAACTCAATGGTAGAATACTAGTTTTCTGACCTTGTTTTGGTGTCTTTGCACTTACAATTTCAAGCAACGACCAATGGTCACATTCATGAGAGACTGATGCTATCTATCTAGAGCTAACGATCAAGTATTAATTAACGCCAATTCTCGTTTGTTTGGAAAGTGTGCACCCCTTTGCTAGTACTCGTACACGGTGTTTCGGTCAAATAGGGATAAGGATGTACGTATGGACTTTCTCCTCTCTTACCTATCCTATAAAAGGATCAGTGAAAGAGTTTACAGGAGATCACAATCATTCACTCGCAAGTAACTAGTAGGGCAAATATTTATTTGTATTTATTTAAATACATAATAACAGTTTTGAGGAATCAATTTCCAACAAGATGTTGTTCCAAAATTGTTCCTTTATTGGCCCTAAATGCATTTAATTCGAGTTTGATCCCAGTAGAAGGGTATAGCGGGCACGCACAAAAATCTAGTTTTTCTCGAAGGTGAAAAAATACAGGCCGTTATCGATAATTCGAAACTCCATATCGCTATAAAAATTATTTGAATATCCAGAGATAATAACAATCTTACATATCACCGAAATGTAAAATGCTTGTTGACAACTGTCTTATAGATAATACAATGATAAAGAATAGTCGGTTTGAGTTGTTAAAGATAATCTACCTAGTTTAATTGTATTAAGCAATACGACATGTATAGGATATTGATTGATGAACTAAAACATGAAATTAAATAGGAAATAGGTAGTTGATAAAACAGATAATTACCTATCTAGATGTTTGTCAAATAAAATATTCAATACCAATAATTTGAAAAGTTTTAATCCTTATGTGTACCCACATCGACCAAATTAGAGTATTGGCTTTTTTCTATCAAGTACAAAGAGCATTGTCCTTAATTAAAGAAAAAAAATTTATCGATCTCTATACAAATATCGAAATTGGTTCAGCAGTTGAAGCGTAAAGAGGTAACAGATAGACTGACAAACAGAAAGACAGACATACTTTTGAATTTATTATACATACTAGTATGGTTACAACATGCTTAATGTCGCCACATCACAGCCTAATTGTATACTCAAGGTTGTTAGGCACCAATAATATCACCAATGATGCGGGTTGCGCGACGCTGCATGCCACCTATCCAAAACATCGAGCAAGTACTTAGCAGAGCCATCCTAGAAGCGCAAACATATTCCACACAAGACCGCACGTTGCTTTTGCAACAAGCACAGGGAAAAATATTCGGGGTCGAAAACACGCTTCTTCTTGTACAGGAATATATGAGTTCTCGTGAAGCTGCTTGATCACGGTGTGGATGCAGTGTTTTGGATCACAGCAGACTTTTATACCGACTAAGTTAACTAAAGAGATGATATGAGAAGGAATGATGACGTTTCTGCCGTGAAAGCGCAAACTTGGATTTTCTTAGTATCAATGAAGTTTTCTGAAACCGGTTTAAAACCCGATCGAGCTCAATCGCAAGATTTCCCTTTTGTCATTGGTTTTTACCTGTCCAGCTGCTGCATGTCCGAAATATCATGTACTGGACTGTCGTGTTTATTTCAATAAATATTGATGATTCTTCATATTATTGGTATTCAACAGAATGTGAGACGCAATGACACCAATATTCATTGTCAAACAAAAACCGCTTACTATCCGTCCGTAAGGGTGCGTCATCTATCAGCTACCTGACACAGAACTATGTAAATAAGTATGCACGCTACATGCGGGACATTTGCAGAGAAGTCTTCTGTGCCCGACCCTTTGCGATTCTAAGTCAAACTTCGTCAAACAAAAAGATTGCCATTCCGCACGAATATTATGCTGTCCGATTATTTTAACAGACATCATAGTGTCACAATAGGTAATTGTAATAATTTCCACATTAGTTGCAGTGCATTGCAATCTTCGAATCAGGAGTTAGCCGCAGAATTTTGCCATAAGATCGGGTTTCCTTTAGCTTATGAGCTTGTTAACTGTCTGGATGCTTCAGACGCTTCAGAGACCAAAGTTGCTTTGTATGGCGTTGGCCAAATGCCAATAACTACGGGAACTCGTAGTATGTGTTATGAGTTCGTAGCAAAATCATACAACGTGCTAGGCTTTTTTATAGGACTTAGAAGGATTATTTGAGACCGATTTCAATGAATCGACTTCGAGAGCCTTGAAAACGCAAGCTTTGATCCAAGTGAGATATGCTGTCTGCTTACGCCAAACAGCGTCAGTGCAATGATATTGAATTAGGAGCTGACTTTTAAAATAAGAATGTGGACAGTTTCATTCCTATCACGATCTTCTAACGGCGTTAGCTGATGTTTCCTATATCTAGTATTGTGTTGCTTCCAAGAGATCCAATCTGTCAACAACTAATGCGTGACCCGGCGTTGAGCCATCGCTGGTTTTGAAGGCTTGGGTTTGCAGCAATATAGCAGCTGTCAGGCAGTAATCCGATTTACCCAAAGAGACTGTTAGCTTGAATCACAATTTGATAGGCCTGTTAATTTATATTGCCAATCATAGTTTTAGTTACATTTTCATGTGTCTAATGAAATATTAATATCTTTTACAAACGGATTTTTTTGGAACCGATCGAAATGCATCAGTTGTTTGCACTCAGTATAATGTATATTAATGCGGATCATTACTAGGTCAGCAAATCAACTCAAAATCAACAGTATAATGATCTAATAAGTTTTTTAATATATACTTTTGTATCATCGAAATGGGTTCATTCGTTGCGATTTTATAACAAATTTTATGATATCCAATATACATCGGCGGCCGGAACGTGTGACGTCACAGAGCTCGATCGTGGTTCACTCCGGTCAAACTTTTGTAGCGTCTCTACGCACGCTCGCGCCAGAACGCTAGAGCTCTGTGACGTCACAGTCACCACGCGGCCAGCCGAAAATTCGTTTAGTAATTTTGTCATAACTTCATCAATATTTGTCGTAGAACAAAAATTTAACCACTGTACTTTATGGAATCCCTAGCTCTATAAATCTACATTGCCAAATAAAATCGTTACGGATCCTTATTAGTAGCTTTCGAAAACTACGATAATGCCTATTTCAAAGTTCAAACACTAGTGGCCGCCTATTGGTGGAAATTCCTCTTTATTTCTTCTGTCAACTGGGTATGTCTGCGGTGTCAAGCGAAAGCAGTGTGGAAATTTTATTTTATTAATTTAATGTATCCATAATAAAATTCATAAATGCAGTAACTTTCTTCATTCTATAAAAATCTCCTCTTCTCCTTCCGTACGGAAAATGTGCTTAGAAAGGGGTACGAAAGATTTTACTCCATCTATTAATATGATGTTACGATCAGTATGATGTACTTTACCAGTTGCGAAATGAAATCATAGATTTTAAAATAGGTAATAAAATAACAAGTAGGTACTCACTTCATTTGTTTGACTATAGTACTCTTGCCCGATTCGCCAGCGCCTGTAAAAGAAAATTAATAGTATAAAATTCATATAATAATAATAGTTTTTATTGCACACAACAAAGAACATCTAAAACATAAACCTATAAAACAAAAAGAAGAGTATACAATGGGCGGCCTTATTGCTAAACACCAATCTCTTCCAGGTAACCTGTGGTGGAAAAGGAATAATAATAATAAAGATAACACACACCACCCTTCTAGGGTGCAAAAGAAGGCACAGGATATAAACTTACATAAATATAGGAGAAGCAAAGGAAATGGGATGTTAAATTAATTTAAGATAAAGAAAGGAAAGAACGAGCCTGATTGCTTCAGGGAGACAGTTCCAAAGTCGAGCAGTGTGCACAGAAAGAGAGTAAGAAAGAAGTCGGAAGAGTGACTGGGAATCACAATAAGAAGTTAGAAGAGGACAGCAGTGAAAGCTGTGAAGAGGTGAACAGAAAGGAGAAATATTGTTTAAGATATGGTGAGACAAAGCCAGGAAAAGTATAGAATAAAGAACCGTAAAAGTATGTAAATCCCTGCACCGGTAAATAAGGAGCCAATTGAGTTTACTATGGAATTGGGACACGTAGTCGAATTTACGGAGATTATAAAAGAAACCTGATGCAAACATTCTGCAGTCGCTCTAATTTATTGAGGACTTCCTGCGATATGGACCACAAAAGAGAATTTGCCAAGTTGATTTTGGTAAGAAAGAAAAAGTTATTTACTAACCCATGTTATAGAAACAATTAAATTAAAGAAATAGATTAAAGTAACAATAAGGGTTATTCAGGACCTTGTCTCAGTCTAAGCTGGTGGATATTTCGGGCGCTTGCAAAATACCGAAATATCGGGGACTCGCAAAAAATAAAGTATCCGCTAGTAACTATAAAATTATATACAGTGCAACCTCGATATAAAATATTCGTTATATCAAGTAATTTGTTAAGCTAAGGTTTGTTATATTGAGGTTAAGTAGGTTGGTCGAAAATTTGTTACAGAGGTAAAAAATTGTTTCGTCTCGACATGAATCACTTACTATGGGATTAAGGTTAACAAAATTCGTTAATGAGGTATTTACATTTTTTTGATAGTCAAATTCTTACTCTTAGTATTTCTTAATCTCAACGGAGCTCGATGGCGCTGGTGGTTAGCGCATTCGACTGCGATCGTTGAAGTTAAGCAAAATTTCGCAGTGGTCGGTCATTGGATGGGTGACCAAAAATCTTCTATCTCGAGTTCCTCCGTGCTTGGGAAGGCACGTTAAGCCGTTGGTCCCGGCTGCATCTGCAATCGTTAGCACCCGCCAATCCGTACTGGGCCCGCGTGGTGGGTCATGGCCCAATCTCCCTATTCCATTCATAGGGAAGGCCTGTGCCTCAGCAGTGGGGATCTTAATAGGCTGATGATAGTTAAAAATTCGTTATAAAGAGAATGTTCGCAATGTAAAGCTAATTTTTTTATTGTCTCTTATATGAACAATTCAAGGAGATTACGAAGAATTTGTTAAATCGAGGAAGTCGTTATATTGAGGTACGTTATAAAAATAAATAATGCTATGAAACAAAAAGCAATAGACGTATCGTTGCATCCCTTAATTTTACCCATTTAATTTATTATTGATAGGTTTGACAAATTACTCTACCCCACCTGATCTTAAGTGACGGTGGAGTCCAGACGAAGTGCGCGCTATTAACTGAAATGCGTCATTTAAGATACTTTTTACTAAGTACATGTAAGGATTGGTACAAATACGTTATGTATAGTTCAAAACAGACTTTCGCCCAACCGCCACGATAAAACACGCAATGATATAAAAACAGTTAATTACCAGCTGTAAACCGAAACAGTTCACATTACGCATGACTTGCTGCAGACGAATAAAAATAGCATGTTAAAATTTTATACAGCATTGCACCGCAAACGTATTTCAGCTATGGTATTAGTTCCTGGTTAATTTTGAACCGAAGTTAACGAAATATAGACAGGAAGCTACCTTTTCAGAACGTCTTTATTGAAAATGGCGTGGGCTTCGAGTCGAATAATTGTGACCCCAGTTGCTGTAATTGACAGTCTCAACGCGAATGGCCGATCTCTGACCTCAAGCAAGATACCCATATCACCTACAAAGAGTGAACTACTGATTTAATTATACGTTTGCAATTGTATACCTACTTATTTAAGAACGAACTGCAAATAAAGTTGAAATGAAAAATATATATAAGGATATCTGTCCAATACTGTCCATCTTACATTGCGTGATACAAAGCGTTCTCAAGAAACCTTTCCCTATTACAGATGCATCAGAAGAGGTGACGTGCAAATATTCTGCTTGAATTTGATGAAGAATCTGCCAGCAACAGGAGAACATATCCTCCAACTCATTTTTCTACATCGACTTGGCCTAGGATCGGATCCATCGACAACTTATATATATTGTCATCGTGAAAGCGATGTGCAGACCACGTCCGTAACGACGTCTGATAATCACATACATCTAATTAGTTTCCACTTAAATATCTGAAACCTAATACAAGATCCCCTTAAGAAAGGTTATACAACATTAAATTAATATAAGGGACAGTGAAGTTGTATGCACAACGCTTATAATTAATTAGCATTCTATAAATTAGTTAATTTTGGACTATTATTTTTTTGTACCTACCTAATATGGTTTTTTAATTGATTGCGCTAAAAGAGATGGCCTGACTGACGCTACCTACACCGTTTCGGTACCATATTGCGCTGTCATCGCGATAGGATCGCTCTTCGCGTGCTTCACTTAGTTGTCAGATAACGCCTGTATCTGCCCATCAATTCGCCTCCTCCAAGTTAACATCATTTTCATGGCCTGAGCAGTATCGTGAAAAAAATGTTCGCCGAGGACTTTCACGGACTCAACACACAAGGTGTGCGCTTTTTTTTGCCCGGAAATTTAGAGAAGCGCACGCAATGGAAGTAAATATATATTCTCAGATTACGTTGTGTTATAATAAACATGAAGTTGAGGAAAAGAGGCTGCGTCTAGTCACACGAGTTATATTTTTTGGGGACACCCCCATACTTTTGTCCAGGCCATTCTCTCGATGTCCTCGGTTGTTCGGGGGATTTTGTGTTCTCGACACTTTAAATCCTTCGTGTGCGTTACTCGATGCTGTTCTGCGCGATCTGTTTTCGCGGACAAAAAAGTCCGCAGACTTAAATCCCCAGTCTGCGAAGGCACATACTAAGTACGTATTAACAACAAGACGTAAGTTTCGGTTTTAAAAGAGGTTATTATTACAAAGAAACGAACAAGCGCTAGTCGGAATCGTCAACCGAGGGTTCCGTACAAATTTGTAAGTACACAACATAAACTGCCGTATATTTTTTTACGTTACCCAAGAAATGTGTTTCTTTTCACAGCTTTAAGGGACCGTAGATCTGAGTATATGTTTTATTTTCAACTCGATACCCCCACGCGTTCCCGAGATAAAAGGTCATGGCAGACGAAGAGACGGACAGACAGAAAGACAACGAAGTGATTTTAAAAGGGTTAAGATTTTTCCTTTTGTTGTACAGACCCTTTAAAAAGTATTTAATAGATTATTTCGTTTATACCTTAGCAAATCCGCTAAGATAGGGCGGGCCTGTGCCCTAACAGTTGCGGAATTTAATAGATCATAATCAAATATTTTTTTTATAATAATTATGATTCTTTATTCATTTTGGTGGTTGATAATATAAAAACAAGTTTTTCGACATTCGTCATCCTCACACAATAATATGTAAGGTTGCTGCTCAGCTTGATCAATAGACAGGCATTTATGCCATTCAAGAGCTCACGCAGTGTCACTGATCGCGACAATTTAGTCGTGACACATCAATCAACTACTGCCAAGGCATCTACCCTACTTACCTTAGAAGGACTCAACAGATTGACACAGAGTTAAATCCAGAGGAGTGATTAAAGATTATTATTGTTTATTAAAGACAACATTTTGAGCTAGTAACATGGCTGTTTTTTTTTATCTTATAAATTCCACGGACTCTTGGACCTTAGCTTTTTTTGTTATTAAATTATTTTAAGTGCATTATTATATTGTGTTATTTTCCTACACCTAAACAACAAGCCTAACCTTAGCTATATGCTATAAAATTAAAGTGTAGTCTTTACACTACAAAATTCTTAAATCTACTGTCGCTTTACTTCTAATGCTAAAATTAAACAGGCATAATGGCGCCGATGTCGGCACAACTCCTAAAACACAAAACCATTCCTGTAGTGGTATATCCCTGTAATGTTCCCTAGGGAAAAAGGAGAGACCGCAGTCAAAACATGCTCAAAGCTCAAAAATCACGCCAGATTCAGGGACTGCAGTCACTAATATTAAGGGTTTCTTCTCCATGTTGTCACTGTCCGTGGTGCTTTGATTAAAAGTTAACTAATCATCCTTTTTGTGTGGTGGTGTTGCTAATTTCTGGATTATTATATGGATGGTTCTACAATAAGAGATTGTAAGTTCATAGAAGATGGAGCCAAGAGAAAAAGTTGGATTATATTGATTGAATACATAAGTCCCTTAAATGTACATATTCACACAAGGGAAAGTCACTTCATTTATATTTGATTACCAATCTTTTAAATGGACAGGGTAGAAACATCGGCAGGGGAGAGACAGCGACATAGTTAGACAACAAATAAAATCAAATTTTATTAAAAGTTGAAAACTTTACTAATTATCAGAGTATTAATTGACTACTTTTCTTTAATTTGAAATCTAGAGCTTCTTACTTAAAGAGAATAAAGTAGGCTAAAAAATGCTCAGAGTATTAATTGACTACTTTTCTTTAATTTGAAATCTAGAGCTTCTTACTTAAAAAGTATAAAGTAGGCTAAAAAATGCTCTATGGACATCTTTTAATTAAAGAGTGATCTCTGACATGTGGGAGTCAAAGCAAGGGTGATAATGATCTGATCTAACTATTTATCAGACTCGAGCAAGGAAAAAACAAAATGCTAAAATAATCAGTCACATAGAAACAAAGCATTACAACATTCCCCAAAGTAATATAACATATAATACAACATTTGAAGGATAAACAGAAAAACCTCTTCAATTTATTGATCATCACACTTCTACCTTTCCATCATTAACATTTTAACTTGTAGCCAATATAAAAAAAACAAATTAAGGTGTTACTATTTGGTTACTATATCAAATTCTTCTACTATATTAAAAATAAGCATTCTTATTTTATTACAATCAAGAAAAAGAAATGCACTAGCGAGACCTAGCAGCTAACTGACTTATATGCAGATTAACAGTCCATGGACAGACAGAAGAGTTTAGAGATAAGTTGTAGGTGATGAGCTGGTTGTCTAAATAGCATCATTTATACATATCTCAAATTTGATTTATTTATGAAGTTGATAATTTCTAATTAACTAATGTCATGAATCATCATCATCATGTAGAGACTGCTAAATCTCAAATGTTAGTTACCATACGTTTGGCAACTCTGCGTGGCACATCCTCGCCAGCGACTATACAACACAAATCGTCGCACAGCACCTTTAGTTAGACCAAGAGAATGTCAAATCTGATGACCTTGTACAGATTGAGCTATGGGAATGGGAACCCATACCATAAATGGGAGAGTCACTGTTTCTGTTTTATCATGTAAAACCCTTAGAGTACTGAACCAAACAATTTTGATGAACTTTTGTATGGACACAAGAAAGAGCTCAGAGAGGATGAAAATTCAAAAATAAAACTTATTACTTTTCACAGGTAAAGTTGTGTTCCCACTGGAGGATTTACATTAAATTAAAGATATTGGCCTAATGCTATACCTATGATTCACTATTACTCGCTCATGAGTAATATCACACATGATGAGTGGCAAATTGTATTATTTTATTTGTGCATTAATATTAAGAGTAACATTTACAATTTCTATTAAAACCTACTAAGTACTAATATTATACATGCGGACGAATTTAGATGAACTTTGGCATGCAGAATGTTTATTACCTTGATAATAGAGAAAATTGTATATTATGTAAAAACCAACTATATGATGTATTCATACCACAGCAATATTAGATTAGATACTTAAAATACTTATAGTAATATTATGAATGTGAAAATTTGTATGTTTGTTACTCAATCACATAAAAACTACTGAACAAGTGCCGGATTAAATTTGTAACACATATAATTTTGATTTGGATTGAGACATCAGATAATTTTACTCCGTAAAATTTAAGGTTCCTAAGGATTCTTAAAAAAACTAAATTAACAAGAACAAGTTTTTCCACATCAACAACTTTCAAACCAATTTGTTGTCAATGAACAGTGGAGCTTCATGGCAGTGTTTGGACTGTGATTATGGAAGTCAAACAATTTTCACAATGGGTGGTCATAGGACAGTTAAAAAAATATCTTAAGCTCTAATGTGCTTCTGAAGGCAAACGGATCTAAGGTAAGCAATTAAGCTATAGGTCCTAACTGTATTTGCAGCCATTATGGGTCATGGCCAATTCTCCCTATTCCATTCATAAGCAAGGTCTGGACATTAATAGGCTGGTGATCATAATTTCTTTATATAATCTTAAGACTCTCTTTAATTAATGGAAGTCCATACTTTCAATTAAGTTAGTTTATATTGGGTTGTGTAACATCAAAATATAGAGACTAAGCTGTGATAGGTTACATCTTGTTACTCCATGTTACATTAGTAGTAATTTCTAAGTAATTTTATTGGGGATTTTTAATAGTGGTAGTTAAAAAAGAGTGGCTGAGCCACTATGTTGTGTAACTTGCGAAAATTTAGTTTGGCTTAATTAAGCCCATACTTCTTAATATCTTCTCCTTTATCTCCATTGGCATCAGAATTATTTAAATAAAAAGTCACTAGGTAGTGATTTGCCTCATGCTTTTTTACTTAACATAATAAATAGACAGGTACCTAAGTTACAAATGTAACAGTAGCTTATTGTTTAATATCAAGGCACACACTATCCATATTAGCATCATAATGGCTTCTGTCAATTTTAATAAGTTTAGGTGAGGCAGACTGCGTATTGAAAGCAGATTCTATAATTTCTAATAGTAATCAAATTAAGATATCTTAGACTTATACTTCAAACTTAGTGTCAATTCCTATGGGCCAGAAAGTACAGTTTTACCCAATAAATTTTCATCCAATTCAGATACTGGATTTTTGGGGAGGAAACCAATAAAAAAAGATATTCATGAAGCATTTTCATTAGATCCACCGTACGTCATATTGATAGAAAATCAAAGGAGTCAGTCACTTCATGCGAGAACTAAACGCGTCGTTTTTGAAACCTCATGGGTGCGGTCAAGCCTGTAACGGATATATTAGCTTGACGTACCTAGCAGTAACAGCTTGATATCTTTAGAGGCCTGAATGCCATCCTCCTTCAGGTTCCTCTCGATCTGTCGGCTGCGAGCGGCCGCCGCTCGTTCCTCCGCCGACTGGGCGCACCCCATGTCGGCAGTTGTTCCTGTTTCTTGTACGCCGGCCGCCCCGACTTCCCAGCCGGGCGTGCTCTCACCGCTCCCTCTGCATGCGCTCCACACGCTTCCAGCCGCTCCGGCTTAGCCGGAGCCACCCTACACAAACGTTAGCACCCAACACAGTAACCTAACTATTGTACCACTACACACTCCAAATTCAATCTGTAACACTTTACAAAGTTGATCCAAACTACACACAGCACTGAAAACACGTAACAACAGCGGGAATTTTAATTTATTTTAAATATCCCTTCAAATACAAGATAATGGCGGCCGGATGACAAGCGCCAGCTTCACTCCGTGACGGCGACCGCGCCCCGCTCGACTGACGTTCGGAAGCGTTCGGTTCTCTTCGTTCGGGCTCGCTCACACATGCGTGAAAGTAAATTCACACACGAAAGAGAACAAAAGCAATGTGCAAAAATCTCAGTTGAATTTAAATTATATCATGTTTTTTCTGTAACCGAAATATTAATCATGTTATTCTCAATATAATATCTACAAAACTCACTTCCTTTGCTTTGCCTTATGTAAGAAGAATAAAAAAGGTAGTAACACATCAAACTTCAGGACATATAGGGTAGACTGATCTAATTTTGGCCCTTCCACAATGATTGACTCTCTTTTACACCATCCCCATTTACACTAAAATAAAAATAATTACTGACCACGATATCTTTTTATTATTCGATGATGGCAATTCTTTTCATGGTTCAATAGAAATGTGAGTTGTACAAATGGGGCGAAAAAAAGTTTTTTTGAAATATTAAGTTGGAAAAAACGTAAACAGCAATTCCTTAGCGACTTCAGTAAAATGGAAGCCTTTTCGTGCCATTCGCGAACCGGCTTTCAAAAAAATCCATTTATAGAACTCAAAGGGTCCATTATTTTTTTCCATAAAACTCTGCCTAATCATGTTCCTCAAGTATTATCATGCATTTATGTGTTGAAATCTACGCCGAATTCATTAAAAATATAAATAGAATTTATGAATCACTTGTGCCACGTTAAAAATATTATAGTTTAAACATTTAAATTCATGGAAAAGTAGATAATATGTTATGGTTAACTAGCGGCTATCCGTGACTTCATCCACGTTTACTTTAGTTTTGAGAAACCATCGAGAAACCTAACATTTTTTCGGGATAAAAGTATCATTTGTCTCAATCCAGGTAATAAACTATGTGTGCCAAAATGTTATCCAAATTCGTTCAGCCATTTTCCGATTTAATGAAGCCCCTCCGTAAAATACTCGCCAGTAAAATGTACATTTCCATTTCACCCTGTTAGTGGTAGAGTTTCAAAGAACCCTGATACATGTTATTCTTTATTTTAGGTCTCAAGAATGAATACTTAAGAAATCATCGAACTGCGTTTTAATAGGGGTCGTTTAGGATAACTGAAAATTACAAACTTTATATGTAATTTATTCAGATATGTAGATTTGTCAAGTCAAGACTTGAAACGCAAGGAATATTATTATTCATACATATTTCATCCCCTATTTTATACCCTTCATGGTCGTATTCTGAAATATCCTTTCATAGTGCACCCCTAGACTTCATAAGGAACCTAAGTGCTTAATTTGGACTCTATACGCAGCGGCTGGGATTTTAGGTGAGTTGTCAGTCAGTTAGTCGCTCAGTCAGTTTCTTCTTTTATATATTTATGTATGCATCTTTAAATTAATAAGAATAAGCTACAGAAATCATAAGAAAATAAATTTGATTGGCAAAATCTTGAATATTACAAAATATTGTATTGTAAGCTCATCAAAATACATATAAAATAACTAAAAGGGTTGTCTAAAAGGCTGTGTAGTAAGGTGATAAAATGTCACTGTCAAATCCATAGTAACAATGTGACGAAAACAGTCACGGGATTTTTGATACAACGAATCACAATCAAGGAAATTAATTTAAACCAATGGAATTAGCTGTCATCGGTTAGTCAATGACAAATTGCGTAACCAAAGTTTCTTTATACGCAGATTCCCTTTTTTTAAATATTTTAATTGAGATTTTCAGCAATTTCTATTTAATTTATTGAGATTTTGATGAGTGAGTCTTTTTGAATATAACTTTAGATGTTTTTTGAGATACTAAGGTACAAAATTGGAAAGAAATCGAAAATTCTCTTTCTACTGAAAATTGAAGAATTGTCTTTAAATAATAATAAAAAGTTTTCTTGTGCACCATTTCATTTATTTTCTTTACATTTAAGTGCAAATACAAGAGGCCCAACATTAGTACAGGTTCTCCTAATTAGTAAAATATAATTACTGCATAGATGAAAATAGTATTTTAGCAGAATTCCACCTAAACTTCAAGAAAACATCAAAATTTTGGTTTTGCTATAATCTGTAGTATGCCATTCACTATACATATGAAAGTTACGAAACTTTTTCTGTTGATTTTGAAATATGTATTTCAATAGATACATATTAATATTGAGCATTTAAAGATTTTTTATTTAGATAGTTACCCCATTTCAATAGCATTGTGGAACCATATTCGATAGAAAACTAAAAATTTATTTACCACAGACAAACAAATGAAGAATTCCGCTTAAAGGGACAATCCTTATTTGCCTACCCTACATTCCTATCATCTCGTGGCTCACCGCCGAGTGCCTGCAACGCCACCAGGGCTATCTCGTCGGCGGGGCAGAGGGTAGGTGTTTCGCCCGCCTCGAACTCCAACAGTCGGACGTAGGAGCTCAGCCAACGGTTCAGCCTGTCCGACAGCATGCCGGACTCGACAAGCCGAGCTACCATCGTGGCGTCAAATGCATATTTGACGCCGGGCGATGCTATCTCGATCGACCTGGCTAAAACGCTGGCGAGCTCCTTTTCCGAAATCGGAGGGAGGCCTTGCGAGGTTGACGGCGTCGGGGTTGGCTGGTCAGCCATGCTGCGAACCGGGGGCTACGCCTGCGCAATCCTGGCCGAGCAGCGCCGTACAGCGCGCTCAAGGCCTGTGGCTGGATGTACGGCAGTCTTCGCTGGCACGGGATGGCTTCAGGCAGTCTCTCGAGGCAGAAAACTTACAGTTTTTGTATCGGATACCTTGAGGGTAGGTTAGGATTCGTGCGCAGTGGCGTAGTACGGTCCAACATTCAAACCGTACTGAACTGATAGTCTAGACTATTCCAGTCATCTAAGTGCGTGCGCACCGTTAAGCACCCACACAACCCAAAGTGAGTATGGATTTTGCTTTCCATACAGCTACCGCTTTTTTCTGTTAAGCCTCCCGATTTTTTAAAATAGGACCTGGAAGCACTGGTTCTATGGAACAAAAACGCGGAGCAGACGCCCGCTACGTGCCCCACTTTACGGTGCGCACGCTGTAGTCTGTGATTCCAGTGGCGCTGCCATGGGTGAACTGGAATCACAGATAAATAAGGTATGTAAACAGTGGATCCAGTCACTGCACTGGAATACTCACTGAATGGAAATATTCCAGTACTGGTTCACATTATTGAAGTAGCATTTCCGAGCTGGAGTGGAATGCTACGAGAATAATGTGAACCGGGCATTAATAATTGATATTTTCACCACTGAGTAATACGTAATTATTAATTTCACTGGCTCACAATCATAATTGGCAAAGTATGATACAGTTTTCTTTATAACTGGTACCACCTTTATTATGATTCACAAATTAAGTTATTAGACACATCGTTCTTTTACAGTGATCAGTCAGCCATACAAGTTAAACCAGTCAATAGGGGTGACGACGGCCGCGGAAGGGCCTGCGAGGGGAGGCATTCCCCTTTGCAGCGGACGGGGAGCGTTGCGGTGGGAATAGGCCACGCAATTTGCTCCCAGATCGGGCAGTCCTGCGCACGTCTGCGGGATCACCCGAATTACCCCTAGGCGTTCCCTGCCATGGAGCCCAGGCTAGGTCGGGAGGTTGTTCAGTGCGGAGACGCGGTGAAGTCCTTCAACGGGGATCTCGCGGTTCCGCACTTAAAACAGCGTAGAGGATATTCGCAGGATTTTTTAGCGGGTAGTATGCCGTAAGTGCTCGTAAGCCGCGCGGACTGCTTAACGGCTTCTCCGTTTCGCACCCGTGAGGCTTGCGAGAGTCTAGGTATGAGGTTCGTTCGTTGATGTGCCCATTAAGGGCGCCAACATCTGTAAAAAGAGGTTTTGCCTGCGAAAAAAGGGGTGGGTAAAATCAGTGAAATTACATTTTGCCCGTCAGTTAAATTATCAAAAAATAATGGAAACTCAATTTTTTCTTTGGTCAATCAACCAAAAAAATACAAAGAATAGGCGCATCAAACTTGTGCAGGCACGTGACGTCAGTTTTAAGTAAAAATAACGTAAGTAAAATAAACTAGTAAGTAAAGTAAACAACTTCGTAAGTTGACATTATGCGACATTTAAAATCAATGTCATGTATGCTGTTATGTGAATAAGGAAAAAATACTTGTCCAATACTTTTTGATATATATAGGGGGTGTAAGGGGTTCTAAATACACCTGCAAGAACCCAAGCCAACCTCACCTTCACGTGGTGCACCCTGTCGACCAACAGACGAGGCTCTGGCAAACCGACCGATGGCGGTATAACCATCCAATGCCGTAGGGGAGGGAAATCTCACTGATGACGGGCAGCAGCGTCATCAGTGAATTAACCTACGTTCTGCGATCGCCAACCCGCCTGCCCAGCGTGGCGATTACGGGCAATACCTCCAATGAACACAGACCACATGCCACGGCCCCCAGTTCCCGGCAGCCCCGTTATTCCTGGTCACGGTGGCGACCACGGTAACGGCGGGGCGGGGGGTGCTAAGAATCTCCGGGCTACGGGAGGCCACCACAATAGACTGACCCTGGCGACGTACAACGGACGCACGCTACGGCTTGACTCGCATCTGGCGCAACTCGAGGTGGAACTTGGGAAGATTAGGTGGCACATATTAGGGTTAAGTGAAGTCCGAAGAGAGGGGGAGGACACCATAACCCTCGAATCGGGCCACCTAATGTACTTCCGCGGGGGAGACCAACAGTCTCAAGGTGGCGTTGGGTTTTTGGTAAATAAGTCCCTTGCCGATAACGTTGTAGAAATGTCCAGCGTGTCGAACAGGGTAGTGTACCTTATTATAAAGCTCACCGAGAGGTATAGCCTCAAGGTGGTGCAAGTGTACGCACCGACCTCGACAAACTCGGACGACGAAGTGGAGGATATGTACGATGATATATCGAGGGCCCTTCACTCCACAACTAAGACCCACTACAACGTTGTTATGGGGGACTTCAACGCTAAAGTGGGAGTACAGAATTGCAGCGAATCGGTAGTAGGATCCCATGGATTTGGAAGCAGAAATCATAGGGGGCAAATGCTCGTCAACT